CACTGTACAACACAAATAGTTGTTTATTTCCCAGAAATTTGGCATGAAAAACATGGTCATAAGTCGAGTGGTCATATGTCGAGCAGGTCGTAAGTCAGATGGTAGGTGTATTGTAGGCAAAGGCTTAGATATACAACAGGCATGTGTGACCTTGTTAAATAGAAGCGAATGGAGACGAACGCTTTTTTTGAGACCTGATAAGTTGTTGGAGTGTGAGCAGGGTAATAATTTGTCAAGGGATTCAGGGAATCCGGTTAACTAGACTTGAATCCTGGAGGCGGGAAGTACAATGCCTGCACTTTAAACCCTTTCAGGGTTTCGGTCACACTAGTACGGCTTATGTGCCAGGGTTTGACATACATGTACTAGTATGTCAAAAGGTGGTTCGGACATGTAGAGAGAATGGAGCGAAACAATGACTTCATAAGTGTATCAGTCTGTAGTGGAAGGAAGGTGGGGTAGGGGTCGGCCTAGGAAAGGTTGGAGGGAGGGGGTAAAGGAGGTTTTGTGTGCGAGGGGCTTGGACTTCCAGCGGGCATGCGTGAGCGTGTTTGATAGGAGTGAAGGAGACAAATGGTTTTTAATACTTGATGTGCTGTTGGAGTGTGAGCAAAGTAACATTTATGAAGGGATTCAGGGAAACCGGCAGGCCACACTAGTCCTGGAGATGGGAAGTACAGTGCCTGTACTCTGAAGGAGGGGTGTTAATGTTGCAGTTTAAAAACTGTAGTGTAAAGCACCCTTCTGGCAAGAAATTGATGGAGTGAATGATGGTGAAAGTTTTTCTTTTTTGGGCCACCCTGCCTTGGTGGGAATCGGCCAGTGTGTTGTTAAAAAAATAATTAATAGTACGCGTAAATTCTAGTGCCTTCAAATCTCGCGGAAAAAGTCTGGTAAACCTAGATGTGAGAGAATGGCTGTGTGTGGTCGGTTTGCGCAGTAGAAAAAAATCTGGGACCCAGTGGCGCATTGTGGGAACGCCATTTTATTAGTCCTTGTTCACCATGCCTCGGGGTAAGAAGCTCCTTGCTCCTCGGTGAATTGGGACACTTTTGTTCCCCAGTGACAGTTCTAATACAGATGGAAGTGCCAGTGAAGATGAGTTTTAAGGTTTTGGCGAGGTTGTGACCGAAACTAATGACCATAATATCGGTAATAGTAAGGAAAACCCAGACGACCCTCAGCCTTCCACCTCTGCTGCTGGGCCGTCTTGTTCACGTTCAGTTGTACCAGAATCAAAGAGGAAACTCCTATTTTTCCCAAATCCCGGACTCAGATGTGAGCATTGGTGATGATAGTGATAGTGAATATGAACTACAAGCTCTTGAAACCAGTTCCTGTAGTGATAGTGAAGTGGAATATTCTCCAGTGAAGTGTCAGTATATACGACGATATATGCGCTCTGGTAGTGTGCCATATGCTATTCCAAGGGAAAGGAGTACATCTCTGAGTACATCCCATGGCTGTATAACAGGAACAGACAGTGAAAATGACGATGATAGTGTTGCAATTGGGATGGAAAATGTGCATGGTAGTGGTGGTGCCAGCCTTGAGGCACCAGCAGTGGGCCATGCTGCCACCCATGCCGCTGCCTTAGCTGATCTACAACAAAGGCCACCACACCAGCCTCCACAACCACAACCATCTGTCAATGTCCAGTACCCACCAGCAGACCGCACCTGGGATTGGCAGGAAGCTGTCAATTTTGTTCCAAATCCCCACCAGTTTGTTGACAGCCAAAGTGGAATACAGCCATCCTGTACACTTGGGAACAATGCCAGTGAACTGGAATATTTTGAGTTATTCTTTGACGAACCCCTGATGGAAATTATTGTCAGGGAAAGCAACAGATACTACGAGTTCACCTTGGCAAACACAATACTTTCACCAAAATCACGTCTACACCAGTGGAAGGAGACAACTGTGGCTGAGATGTATCTTTTCTTTGCCACAATAATGCTTATGCCACATGTGTATAAGCACAGTGTGAAATCATACTGGTCAACAGACTGCCTGATTGCATCCCCAGGTTTCAGTGATATAATGGGAGTGAATCGATTTGTGCTAATGTTACGTATGCTTCACTTCTCAGACAAAACCAGGCCTGACAGAAACGACAGGTTATATAAGATTAGGCACGTGTTTGTGTATCTGAAAGAGAAATTCAATATGTATTTTTATCCCTTCAGGAAACTTTTAATTGATGAGTCTTTGATTGTGTTCAAAGAGACTCTTTCAAACAGTACATACCAAGCAAGAGGAAATGCTTTGGTATAAAGTTGTTTGTGCTTTGTGATTGTTACAGTGGTCTGGTATTGGATATTATTGTGTATACTGGAAGTTATACATTGCAAAATACCAGGAAGTTATTGGGCATCTCTGGTGGTGATGTTAGAACAACGATAGAACCATACCTTGGTAAGGGGCATATATACTGATAACTGGTACACAAGCCCCTTACTCGTTTTTTTTTGCGAGTGAACGTGACAGATGTGTGTGGCACAGTGCGTGCAAATCGTAAACATATGCCCAGGTTTGATGCTGGCACTCAGAGGTGAGGCGCAGACGTTTGCTGCCAATGACATCATGGCATTTCGGTGGCATGACAAACGAGATGTCACACTGTTGTCATCAGTTCACCCTAATGAAATGGCAGACACTGGCAGGCAGCATAGAGAAAGCAATGAACCCATTCTAAAACCTGCAGCTGTGATGGACTACACCCTCAATATGCGTTCAGTGGACAAATGTGACATGCAGATTGGGTTTGCTGATTGTGTTCGGAAGAGTTACAAGTGGTACATAAAACTCTTTCCATCTTCTGGACATTTCCATGCTCAATGCTTATAATATATAAAAGATGAGGACCAGAAACAAACTACCATATGGCGAATTCTGTTTGTCTGTCATCAGACAAATAGTATTCAAGTATCAAGGAACAACACCTGCAATAGACCACCCACTAAATTATCAACAACTATCTTCTCGTCTGAAGCATGGTGATCACTTCCTAGTAAAACTGCTTGCTACTGCTTTCAAGGGCTCAGAAGAGGTGTTACGTCTGTGCACATACAAAAAAAACGCCCACAACAACACAGACACTCGTTTTATGTATGAGGAGTGTAAACCACCACTGTGCATGACACCATGTTTCAAAGACTTCCACAGGCTGCAGAACTTCTGGAAACATTCCCTGTGACTGTACATGTGTATATAAAATATAGAAAAATAGTAATAAACAACATTTCATATCGTTTGTTTGTGTAAATATTTTCTGTAAACAGAACAGTGACAACATTGTTTATGTAGTTATTGTGTAGTATAGAAAAAGAAATAACTTACAAAATAGTGATCATATTGGTCTCACAAGCCATAAAAGTTACTTGGAAAAAAAAATTAAAAAATAATAGAAAATAGTACATAAACTAAATAAAATAATACCAGGTGACAGCAGTCAGCAATGTTGCCATATACAGGGCATTTTCTGTCAACTTCATGCCTCCATATCTTGGAAAGTATTCATGGTAAAAATATTTTGTTTAGCCTATAATATTTAGAAAAAAAAAAAAAAAAAAAAAACTTTTCATAAGAAAAAATATATATATATTTTTTTTTTGAAATTTGAGTGACCCTGAGAACAAGTCTCTGAGAGGGCCTGGCGACCCTTAAAGGGTTAAACTGTCCAAACGTAGATCTACGTTTGTGCGCCTAGCGCTCCGACCTTAATTTTCTCCACAAGAAACAATGTAGAAAAAACGTAGATCTACGTTCAGAGCTACGTGTGCAAACGTAGACGTACGTTTGGACAGTTTAAGGGTTAAAGGAGGGGTTTGGGATATTGGCTGTTTGAAGTTTTTTTTTTTTTTTTTTTTTCAACAAGTCGGCCGTCTCCCACCGGGGCAGGGTGACCCAAAAAAGAAAGAAAATCCCCAAAAAGAAAATACTTTCATCATCATTCAACACTTTCACCACGCTGTTTGAAGTGACATCTAAATATCGTTTCTGAGCACCTCTGCAAAGACAGTGATTATGTATGAATGATGTTGAAATTGTTTTTCTTTCTTTCTTTTTGGGTCATTCTGCCTTGGTAGGAGACAGCCAACATTTGAAGGAAAAAAAAAAAATAAGTATGATTATGACTGCCTTGAAATTCAATTTCATGAGAAAAAAAAAAAAAAAGAACAGATTGGAAAATAGTAATGAGTATATTTAGAAGGAAATCCTATGGTTAGTTCTCAGTTTGGGCGAGCCAGCCATTTCCTCTTTGTTTGGCACATCATAAAACAGTCCACATTTCATCAATAATTTGCACCAAAATAATATGAACTTATCACACATGTACAAATACACCATATACAAAAATTAATGAACTGATAAGATGCTCAGGATAAAAACTGACAAAATAATGTTATTATCTCAAACCTTTTCAGACAACTGCAAGTACAGTATTACCTCAATAATCATTCAAAATCCTTTTTCATAGGAATGGTGAAGCTGAAGAAACAGTATTTTCATTGTTCTTGTAGTTATGCTAATATTTTAGAACATTGACTTTTGTTGCAATGCTTGTGGATCAGTGCACTCAGCAAGCAGTTTTCTGGTAATTGCAGCATTGTACCACATTTTGTCAGATCAAATGAGACCACTGGATAATGTTGGATGCTGAATAATTTAGGCTTTACTGTACATAATACACCTACAGGTGGAGTCAGACTATAACTTTGACCTACTGACCCTGAAATGAAAACCGTCTAGTTTGCTAGTAACTATTTTTTTAAATATTCTATTAATCAAAATTAAAAAGAACATCAAAATTGTCAGACAATAATGCAAGACATGTAATACTAAAATACACACAGCAAATGAAAAGTTGTAAAAATAATGAAAATATTAATCCAAAAATTCTGGGATGTTTATTTCAGATGGTACTGTACCAAGATAAAAGAAAAAAAAATTGTAAACAAAAACGATGACAACGACCAACAATGACAAAGATTCACCTTTAACAGGTAAGTCAGTACCGACTCCCTGTATGGAATGAATGGTCTTCGTCGTCCTTCACTCTCTGCAAGAGCAGTGATAACTTTCCCAAGGGTTAAAAGGGATTTATTTATGCATACTCCCTCCTGCAAAATAAACAGGAAATTTACTTGTGGAGCCTCAACTGAACTGTTAGTCACAATATAAAAATTTTTAAGAGAACCATATGATAAATATTTAAAGTCCCTGATAACAAATATATTCAATCCAATCTGTTTTGCAACTACTGGGATTTCTGCATATAATTTAATAAATTATAATACACTTGACTGCCCTCATCTTCTATCATCAAACAGGTCTACCCGTAAATCTACACCATCCCCTTGAAATGAAACGTGATCCAGTGACTGAGGCATCCCTACAGAGTTAACCACCCAAAAGTTCACTGCCACAAATTTAAATAAAGTTCATATAACACATTAGAATGCCAAGTGATTTGCAGTGTACCTTGAGTCGGTCTCCTTGTGACTGTGCTGCTGCAACACGCTCACTACCAGCCAGATCCACCAGATTGATGATGCTCACCTTACTGCTCTCCAGCTGCTCACCCTCAACATCTTCTACCTACAGTTATAAGTTAACAGGTTTTTCTTTTAAAAGGAATATTCATAGTGGCATTAATTTTACAATCATCAGTCCTCTTTCCATTAAAAAAAAAAAAAAAGACAGCATTATGGCTGGGATTTTCTAAACTTATTAAATAATAATTATTCCGAAGTAAAATCTCATACTATTTCTCTTCTTCAAACAATCAAGTCAATAAATTGCAATTTTACGCTTTTGAGGTCCATACCGTAGTACTACAGCTTTGAGCTCTGGGTCAGTGCCATATAAATACATGATGAGCTCAGCTCAGATACGAGAGAATGGGTCTATGCATTAAGGAGGGAAGCGAACATTTTTTTTTTTTCAACTGATTTTATTTTTGGTGTACTTTTAGAGGTGCATATATAGTTTAATGTGACAAAGTTTCAGTATGATTGGCCAACAAACAACATAGAAAAAAAATATTAACAATTTTGATATATGGCAGCATGGCCTGACAAATTGGCACTACGAGTGGCACTTCCGACATTCCCAACTGTTAGAATACAACTAGCACGACGTTTTTACATTGCTATTTCATCTATCTTATTATCATGGTAAAAAAAAATACATTTGACAATTTTTGGCATTCACCAAAATATCTGCCTTTTACCCCCCACAAAATAAAAAATATTTGAGATATTCCAAAAAATCTGTCGTTAAAATTTAAAACACACTGTTTTATATTGTCTGTGAAAATCATTTCAATACAATCATTAATAATGGTGTAGGTCAGCGAAATAAGTGAATAAGTTACTTCCGAGATATAGGCCTAGAACGCCGGCCGGCCTACCGTCAAAAAAAAATTTTTATTTTTTCGCGAAAATTGCGTTTGTTTCGGTGTATTTCTTAGTAAACTGATGTTCTAGTGCAGTTATCCTCCTCAAAACACCGTTTTCTCTCACTCACAGACCAAACAATACAACATGAAGACGAGGAGTAACTTTTATATCGAGATATTGCTGGTGGACTCTCGCTATATTATGGCCTATTTTATTCAGTCTAGAGTATATAACATGTTTGTTTGTTATTTATAGTGATTATTATATCATATTAGATCAATTCTGATAGATAAATAAGACGTATAGTTAATACATAAGCTGATATAAGTGTAATAATGAAGTGATTTCACCTGGCGCCATATGAAGAGGGAGCACTGCCGAGTGTACCTAGGCGCTTCCCGATAGGCTAGACGTCTATTGATAAGCTCCACCTACTCTTATATGATGTCAAATAATCAATTATTATATTAGAAAGAATAATGCAAAGAAAAAGCGATAAAAAACAAGGAAAAAATTCCAAAAAATACATGGGTTGAGAACAGACGCGCTACCTACATCGCCGCCACCATACCTGATATAAATGACTATAATTTCTTGTAGAAACGTTGTAGAACATTGATTCTTGTACCATTGTGTTGCCAAAGAGTTAAGCTATTTTTCTGTATGAATAACTCATTTCCATAATTTTTCGAATTTTTCTTGAGAGCGCTGAAAAAATTCCCGACTCCCCCCTTAACCCTTTCAGGGTACCCAGGCCCTCTCTGAGACTTGTTCTCAGGGTCCCCAAACTAAAAAAAAAAAAGTTTTTTTTTCTTATGAAAAGATAGATAATCTTTTTCCCCATTATAATGACACCAAAAGTATGAAATTTGATGGAAAACAAAATGCTCTCGCAAAGTTAGCGGTCTCAATGATGTTTACGCATTAACGATTTTGCTCACTTTGAGCTCTATTTTTGGCCAATTCCAGTGTACTAGTCGACAAAAGTCATAACTATTTCGCTAGAACTCCATTTTTTTTCTATCGAATGAGTACAAGAAACCACCCATTTACTGATTTCAACTATCCAATAAAGTGGTCAGAATATAGCAATTTTGCCAATTTCACACAAATTTCAAAAGATGCCAGTTTCCAAATAGGGTCCAGAATAAACAAGACAGACATTCCTGGCACTAAAATAAGTTCTCTGTTCGTTAGTCACATCCCCAGGCCCCTCTTATATTTCTTTGGCTTTCCACTTTGAATTTTTATTCTTACAAAAAAAAAAAAATAAGATTTACTGTTATGCAGACTACTGCATTAGTGTAGAAATGGTATAAATAATATCAGCGCACTTGTGAAAGAATATTAGACTTGCCAGTTGGCCTGTATTGGACGCTTGGCATGATTTGTTTACTTTTGAACTTTGGTAAAAATCGACCATTTCTGCTACTTTGAGCTCAATTTCAAGGTACTTTTCATTGTAAAACCAGTCAAAATCATCTCAATTTCTGTAATATGTCTTCCATTCTATAAAATGAAATCAGGAAAACTAGAATACAACAATAAATACCATTCGAAAATGCAGTGCAAAGTCGCCGTTTTAATCCAAAAACACGGTCAAAGTTTTTTTTCTCATTACGCACTGTGCTGCAGGATTTTTTTTTATGGTGCACACACTGACCACATAAGACCCATTCTTTCATATGTAGGCCTACCAGCTTTCTCTCACTAGATTTGAGGGCGCCAGAATTTAGTCGTACTAGTACGTCAAAAAACCATGGGGCATAAGCCGAACTAGTATGGCCGAAACCCTGAAAGGGTTAAGTGTGAACCACAAAAAAAATCCTACCCCACACAGTGCATAAGGGGGGGAAAAAACTGCAACCGTATTTTTGGTTCAAAATAGCCACTTTGTGGTGTATTTTCATAGTTTTTATAGACGTAATCTCGGTTTCTTGGTCTCATTTGATAAGAAGAAATACATGTGTAGGTAGTAGGTTGGTAGACAGCAACCACCCAGGGAAGTACTACCGTCCTGCCAGATGACTGTGAAACAGAAACCTGTAACTGTTTTGCATGATGGTAGGATTCCTGGTTTCTTTTTCTGTCTCATAAACATGCTAGATAACAGGGATATCTTGCTACTCCTACTTACACTTTGGTCACACTTCACAGACACGCACATGCATATATATATACATACATCTAAATTTTTCTTTTTCTAAATAGCTCTTGTTCTTCTTTATTTCTTCTATTGTCCATGGGGAAGTGGAAAAGAATCTTTCCTCCGTAAGCCATGCGTGTCGTATGAGGCGACTAAAATGCCGGGAGCAATGGGCTAGTAACCCCTTCTCCTGTAGACACTTACTAAAAAAGAGAAGAAAAACTTTATAAAACTGGGATGCTTGAATGTGCGTGGATGTAGTGCGGATGACAAGAAACAGATGATTGCTGATGTTATGAATGAAAAGAAGTTGGAAGTCCTGGCCCTAAGCGAAACAAAGCTGAAGGGGGTAGGGGAGTTTCGGTGGGGGTAAATAAAAGGGATTAAATCTGGTGTATCAGAGAGTTAGAGCAAAGGAAGGGGTAGCAGTAATGTTGAAGGATCAGTTATGGAAGGAGAAAAGAATATGAATGTGTAAATTCAAGAATTATGTGGATTAAAGTAAAGGTTGGATGCGAAAAGTGGGTCATAATAAGCGTGTATGCACCTGGAGAAGAGAGGAATGTAGAGGAGAGAGATTTTGGGAGATATTAAGTGAATGTATAGGAGCCTTTGAACCAAGTGAGAGAGTAATTGTGGTAGGGGATCTGAATGCTAAAGTAGGAGAAACTTTTAGAGAGGGTGTGGTAGGTAAGTTTGTGGTGCCAGGTGTAAATGATAATGGGAGCCCTTTGATTGAACTTTGTATAGAAAGGGGTTTAGTTATAGGTAATACATATTTTAAGAATAAGAGGATAAATAAGTATACAAGATATGATGTAGGGCGAAATGACAGTTTGTTGGATTGTGTATTGGTAGATAAAAGACTGTTGAGTAGACTTCAGGATGTACATGTTTATAGAGGGGCCACAGATATATCAGATCACTTTCTAGTTGTAGCTACACTGAGAGTAAAAGGTAGATGGGATACAAAGAGAATAGAAGCATCAGGGAAGAGAGGTGTGAAGGTTTATAAACTAAAAGAGGAGGCAGTTAGGGTAAGATATAAACAGCTATTGGAGGATAGATGGGCTAATGAGAGCATAGGCAATGGGGTCAAAGAGGTATGGGGTAGGTTTAAAAATGTAGTGTTAGAGTGTTCAGCAGAAGTTTGTGGTTACAGGAAAGTGGGTGCGGGAGGGAAGAGGAGAGATTGGTGGAATGATGATGTAAAGAGTAGTAAGGGAGAAAAAGTTAGCATATGAAAAGTTTTTACAAAGTAGAAGTGATGCAAGGAGGGAAGAGTATATGGAGAAAAAGAGAGGTTAAGAGTGTGGTGAAGCAATGTAAAAAGAGAGCAAATGAGAGAGTGCGTGAGATGTTAACAAATTTTGTTGAAAATAAGAAAAAGTTTTGGAGTGAGATTAACAAGTTAAGGAAGCCTAGAGAACAAATGGATTTGTCAGTTAAAAATAGGAGAGGAGAGTTATTAAATGGAGAGTTAGAGGTATTGGGAAGATGGAGGGAATATTTTGAGGAATTATTAATGTTGATGAAGATAGGGAAGCTGTGATTTCGTGTATAGGGCAAGGAGGAATAACATCTTGTAGGAGTGAGGAAGAGCCAGTTGTGAGTGTGGGGGAAGTTCGTGAGGCAGTAGGTAAAATGAAAGGGGGTAAGGCAGCCGGGATTGATGGGATAAAGATAGAAATGTTAAAAGCAGGTGGGGATATAGTTTTGGAGTGGTTGGTGCAATTATTTAATAAATGTATGGAAGAGGGTAAGGTACCTAGGGATTGGCAGAGAGCATGCATAGTTCCTTTGTATAAAGGCAAAGGGGACAAAAGAGTGCAAAAATTATAGGGGGAGAAGTCTGTTGAGTATACCTGGTAAAGTGTATGGTAGAGTTATTATTGAAAGAATTAAGAGTAAGACGGAGAATAGGATAGCAGATGAACAAGGAGGCTTTAGGAAAGGTAGGGGGTGTGTGGACCAGGTGTTTACAGTGAAACATAAGTGAACAGTATTTAGATAAGGCTAAAGAGGTCTTTGTGGCATTTATGGATTTGGAA